TGGGGGTGGGTGGGGATGTTTTTTTTTTTTTATGAAGGGGAGATAAGGCGGGGTCGGGGCGAGGGTAGGAGGCGGAGGGAGGGAAGAAAGGCTTTGCGTTTCCGATCCGCGATCTGGGAGCCCGGGAGGCTTTGGGGAGGTGAGATGGGGTGGGGAGTTGGGGAGACCGGTGCGCACCGGCTGGCTCGGCAGAGCGGCTTGAACCGGCTTCAAAGGAAAGACCGCCGGGTTAGCATGAATCGCGTTAATCCGAGGTGGTTCAAAGGCTCTGAGGGCTTTGAAGCGGGTCGCATGGTTCAGCCTCGGCCTCTCTCGCGTTGTCTCTCTTCCTCCTCCCTCCCTCCCTCTCTGTCCCTCCACCTCTCTTCCTCCCTCCCCACCTCTCCCTCCCTCCCTCCCTTTCTCCTTTCCCTTCCCACCTCTCCCCTCCCCCTCCCTCCCTCTCCCCTTCCTTCCCTCCCCACCTTTCTCTCCCCACCTCTTTTCCTTCCTCCCCACCTCGCCCCTCCCTCTTTCTCCGCTCCCGCTCCCCACCTCTCCCTCTCTCTGGGTTTGAGAGAAGTCACCTATCTGAAGTGGTATAGGTTCTGTCTGCTTGAGACACGGGGGCTGGACTTCAAGACCTCCCAAAGACTCTTCCAGCTATGTTCCATTCATTTTTAGCATCTCGTGGGAATGCGCATGAGTTTTGGCTGAGTGGGCGTGCAACTTGGCTTTCTGGAGAATGGGCACCTGACCAGAGTCAAGGAGAAGGTACTCCGATAATCCTTGATTTACAACCACAATCGAGCCCCAAATTTATGTTGCCAAAATGAGAAATCTCTGAAGTGAGTTTTATCCCATTTTACAACTTGCCTTGCCACATTAAGTGAATCGCAAGTTTGTAACTTGGTTATTAAGTGAATCTGGCTTCCCCATTGACTTGGTCGCATAAGATGATCCCATGATCCCGGGAGGCTCCAACCGTCATAATTCTTGCCTCAAGCATCTGAATGTAAATCACGCGACCATGGGGAATGCTGCAGCACTCATTAAGTGTGAAAAATGGTCATGTTACTTTTTTCAGGGCCCTTGTAACTTCGAACCATCACTAAATGAACTGTGGATGACCTGTATTCTCCCTCAGGGCTATTAACCCACTAGCAAACCACTAAAGGGGCTTTTGCAAACAAACCACAGTTTAGCTTTTATCAGAGCTAGTCTTTCTTAAATGTGATCAAGCCATGGTTAGAATTAGCAGTGGGCCCACATCTTCTTTGACACTTGTCATTAAAAGCTAAAGAGGCCAACTACAAACCTTCCACTTATAGGAAGGGTTGGTGCAATTGTGGATGTGTAAGTGTGAAAAAGAATTTTGAAAGTCCACCTATTACTGGTGGAAAAATAATGTAGCATTTTGCACAGCAAAAATTCAGAGGTAAAAAGTTAAAAGTCCGGAGGTAAAACATTCATTAGCATGTTAAAAACATAAAACTGCACAATTTAGTTTAGTAAGTGCATCCCCCCCACTCTTATTATGGGATGTTCAGTCTAAATTGTGTTTGATACTGGGAACAAATGATGAAATCTCAGGACATTCTGACATGTATGTGTAATATATGGTATACCAGCACTGTGGTTCTCAATTTACAACCATTAGTTTAACGACAGTTCAAAATTAACAGTGGCACTGAAAAAAAAAGTGACTTATTGAGCATTTTTCACTTATGACCATTGCAGCATCCCCAAGGTTACATGATTAAAATCCAGGTATTTGGCCACTGACTTATATTTATGACAGTTGCAGTGTCCCATGGTTTTGCTATCACCTTTTGAAAAACAAAGTCAATGGGGAAGCCAGATTCATCTAAAAATTGTGTTACTAAGTTAAGGTCTGCAATGATTTCATTTGTCAACTGTGGTGACAAAGGCTGTAAAATGAGTAAAAATTTCCTTAACTGCCTTGCTTAGCCACAGAAATTTGGTGCTCGGTTTATACGCAGGCCTGCTCGATTTGGACTTGGCTCCTGAGCATATCTCGATTCTGAAATGTCTTTGAATAACTCTTCTAATTCTGCACAGAAATCAATTCTTGAATCCCAGTTTCTCCTCCCGGGGTAATTATTGGCTCAAATGGGGCATCTGGCAAAATGAATTCAATGCTGGGCCAGGCCGAAGGTGCAATAGAACTGGCTAAGGCCGAGCATCTCTTTTGCAGCCATATGGTGTTAAGAGTGATCCAAAAATTGACCTGGGTGGATGGGCAGCATGGATGGGGACTTCCACCCCATCCTAGCCTTTTAGCTGATGGCGAAGTCCACCCAATTACTTCGTCATTTCTGCATACCTGGGAGCTCCTGTGGTTTTTCAAAAAAATACTTATATTCTCTAGTGACTGAAGAGCCTGCTTTATACAAGGGAAGGATCGTGTTTTTCAACTTGGCTGTTAATTAAAAAATGCTTCCTGCATTTTCAGTCTCTGCTTTAATTTGTAGGCATCTTTTCATTAGGTTTGCAAGCCCCATTCAGCATTTCCTGTGATAGATAAAGCTGTTTGCATTCAGATAAAAACAAATTGGGAATAAAAGGAACATACTTGGCAGAAGTAGCCATTTGTTTATGGAACAGCAGTGAATATCAGTGAATGACAGAAATTTACTGTGGGTATCGCAGCTTTTGTCCCTGCTTGGCAGCTGCACAACGCAGATTTCTTCAACTTGTATGTTTGTGTGCTGCCTTTTAACATCGTACACGAACTGCTGGATTGGCTTGTACATGTAATCAGTTTCCAATAAACCATAATTAGTTAGATAACGACAAACAAGGAGTCCATGCTTAGCCATAAATAGCAATGGCCGAACTCCCTAAAACAATAAGCAAAAATACTACTGTGGGCTTTTTGGGGTGTGTGAGTGGGACTTTTGAGTCAGTGTTGACTCCTGGTAGCTGCCTGGATTAGTCCCTGCAGCAAGATTTTTCAGAAGCGGTTTGCCGTTGCTTCCTTCCTAGGGCCCAGAGTGAGTGACTGGCCCAAGGTCAACCAACTGGCTTTGGGCTTAAGGCAGGACTGGAGCACAATATCCTGGTTTCTAGACTGACACCATAACCCCTACACCAAACTCACACACTCTCTAATTTGTATGCCTGAGTGACTCAGCAATTTATATATTTGACGACAGCCTGACAATTTCTGATCGCAGTGATTTACGCTGTTTCAAAGAGGCAGATTTGATAGAGTGGGTGCAACTTTTGCCAAAGGATCACCTGAATTGTGGGTTTTTGTCCCTCAAAAATTTTAAGCGTTTTGGTGGAGTTTGTGTGAGATGAAAGACATCCTAAACCCCGCCTGTAACTGGTTGCTGGTGGGCCCTCTCCAGTTTCATAGTAATTATACTAGATGAAAAGGCAGAAAGTAAACAATGGCTGACTTGCCCTGGCTGATCTCCTACAGAAGGAGGATCAGCGCTGAGCCAGAACTGATTTCCGTGTCCCAACTTCGACTGGCTGCTTTGACCCTGTGGGATTAACGAGTCAAATCTGTCAACCGAAAGAGCAGTTCTTAAGAAGATTGGATTGCTTTTCCAGACTGGAAAGACCTCATCGGAAAGGCTAAGAACACAAGAAATACAGTGTCAGGGCTGTGTTACATCAGCTTTGTTTCTTATAGGCCCAAATGGAGACCACAGCTAGTCCTCGACTTAAAAGCGACTTGCTTAGCGACTGAAGTTACAGCATTGAAAATAAGGGACTTAGGACTAGGTTCTCAGATTTAGGACTGTCGCAGAATCCTTGTGTCATGTGATCAAAAGATAGGGCACTTGGCAACTGGCATGTATTTATGACAGTTGAGCTGGGATGGGAATTTGATCATTTGTCTCCTTCCCGGCCAGTTTCTGACAAGCGAAGTCAATGGGGGAAGTTGATTCAACTTCAACGGCAGCATGGTTCACTTAACAGCTAGTGATTCGATTAACAAATGTGGGCAGGGGAGAGATCGTAATATCAAATGCACAAAATCGAATGAAGCCCACATCATTAGGAGACTGGAGGCTAAAAACTTGTAAGGAATGGTTGGTGGAATTGGGTACATCTAAGTTTGGTGAAAAAAAAGGACTAGGGATGACGTAGTAGCAGTGTTCCAATATTTGAGGGACAACCACCAAGAGGGAGTCAAACTATTCTCCAAAGCACCTGAGGTCAGGAAAAGAAGCAATGGGTAGAAATTAATCAAGGAGAGAAACAACCTAGAACTAAGGAGGAATTTCCTGACAGTGAGAACTTGCCTCCAAAAGTTGTGGGTGTTCAATCTGTGGAAGTTTTTAAGAAGAGATTGAAGGGCTGCCACGAAGAGGAAGTCAAGCTATTCTCCAGAGCATCTAAGGGAAGTTTTTAAGAAGAGATTGGGCAACCATTTATCTGAAATGTTACAGGGTTTCCTGCCTGAGTAGAGGATTGGACTAGATATAAGATCTCCAAGTCCTTTCCAATTTTGTTATTCTATTCTGTTTTATTCTGTTCTGTATTCTATTGTATCCTAATTCTAATGCTCTGGCTGCTCTGCTCTATTATTCTACTCTACTGGATTCTATTCTATATTCTGATTTACATGTTATTCTATTCTGTTCTATTCTAATTACATTCCTATTCTATTCTATTGGATTCTATCTATATTCTAATTTACGTTCTGTTCTGTTCTACTCTATTCACTCTATAACTACCAGGCTTAGCAAAGGAAATTCTGGTCCTGATTTAAGTCCAGCTACGGAGATTTTTCAACAGTTGTGAGAACATGCTCCGTCACTTTTTTTCAGTCCTGTTGTAATTTCGAACTGTCATGGTTGTAAGTCAAGGACTACCTGTATTCGTCTCTCCACTGGAATAGCAACAGAAGAACAGTAGCTACAATAAGTGGGATTTCCCTTTCAGTATGGAGAAAGCAAAAAGACTCCCACACAGCTCAACTGATGCATCAAAAATTCACCAAAAGAGTTTTTATTTTTCCCACACAGTTTTTTTTTTTTATTTGGAATTAGAAAAAAAATCCAGTCACTGTGTGACCTACAGAGTTTGCATATTTCCTTTGTCAAACGTAAGTTCCCTTTTCCCTCCTTCTCATGCCCCGCCCCGTTGTTTTCCCCCCACCCCCTGTTAAGGCCAATAGTGTCTTCTGATTTTTGTCATATTTTTATTTCTCCCCAAAACCTTGCCTTCCTCAGAAGGAAAAGAAAAAAAGAAGAAAAAAGGAAAAACTGGGTTATGTCGCTCTTCCAGGTTGTTGTCGTTTTTTCCTTTTCCTTTTTTTCATTTGTTATGTTGTGCCCCATCGCACAGCCAGGACAACCTGGATTGTTGGTGGCAAGAGAAGAGATGGAGCTAGGGAGGGGGTATTAACTCACACCTTCGCCTTTCTCACTTAAACCCACGCGCTCTCGTGTGGACACACGCCCGAACATACCCTCCCGCTTGAGAAATCACAGTTTAAAACCTGGGAAGTATGATGAGGACTAGTCACCAAAAAAGGGAAGTCGACAAGAACATCTGCCTCTTGGACCAATGGTTGCCTATTTTCCCTTGACACTGTTCAAAGCGAGTAGATGGAAGACAAAGGGAAAGGGAAGAAAGGGGGAGCTGGGGGAAAGGAGATGAGAAATAGCTGAAAATGGAGGAAGAGGGAAAAAAAGAACATTTTCAGACTCCAGAGAGGGGTCACCGATGTGAAAAGGGAGGAGGAGGTGGAGAAGGAAGGCTGCTAGTTGTCAAAGTTTCTAAGTGCTACCTGCTTCCAAAGTGGGCCTTTCACCCACAGCAAGCCAGAATCTCATTTCTAGATCTACCTACACACACACACACACACACACACACACACACACAAACCCTCTCTCTTTGCAAGAATGTTTCTTCCTCCAGTTTTGGTCCTTCCCAGCTCCAAATTCACTAGCAGAGCAGAGCCAGGAAACAAGCCAAGCTGAAGCCGCTTCTGGCATCCGAAAGCAGAGCGTGATGGTTGGGTGAGCGAGGAATTGTACTCCAGCAAGTCTGAACCTCTCCCCCAACAAACCCCTCTCCTTCCAGCTCTTCCAGGAGATGTGAATGGGCCCAGGTCACCCTGAGAAGAGAAGGAACTGGACAGGAAAGGTTCAGGACTTCTTTCACGGCTGAGAGGCGGAAGCAAGGGGGTTCAAGCAAGGAGTTTAATGCCCTGAAATCTGGCAAATGGAGTTGGGGGGGGGGAACCCCACTAGCTGCACAAGGCTCCTTGAACATAGGTGTGCTTAAAACCTGGCCTACTTTTGGCTCCACAAGAAGAAAGGAACAGGAGGGAGGCTATGGCTTTTTTGATTGGTTAATGGTTTTGCACAGAGTCACGGGCGAGGAGGAAGAGGAGAGAGTCTCGGAGAGGAAGAGTGACGGCTGGTGGCAGGGAGCTGGTGGTGCCACTGAGGCTCCCCCCAGACCATGAGGCCCTGCCTGGCGAGCCAGCCGTGGTGGTCCCTGGCCTCAAAACTTCTTGGGGCCCCAAACCGATGCCTGCTTAGGGACCACGCCGGTGCCAAAAATGGGGAACTCTTCGGCGCTGCTCACATCTGGGGCCTGAAACAAAAAGAGGACAGTCAAGTTCAGAGGGGGTGCTTTCCTTAGGCAGTCCCGAAACAAAGGATGTACAGGTAGTCCTTGACTTACAACCGTTCTTTAGTGACTGTTCAAAGTTATAGCACCACTGAAAAAAGTGACTTATGACTGTTTTTCAGTTACCTTTCAAGCATCCCCACAATCATGCAATCAAAATTCAACTGGTTCATATTTATGAGACTTGTGGGGTCATTTCATCCCCTTTTGCGACCTTCTGACAGACAATAGGTAAGCCAGATTTATTTAACAACCGGGTTAGTAACTTATCAAGCTCAGTGGTTCACTTAATCATGGAAGGAAGAATGATTGTAATACGGGGCAAAACACACTTCACAAATGTCTCTCTTAGCAACCAAATTTTGGGCTCCATTGTGGTCATGTCGAGGACTTCCTGTACCCTGGATGTCCTGCATGGAATAAGTTAGTTCAGCTAATGCAGTGCTTGTCCCCCCCCCTTTTTTTTTCCAATTGTATCTAGTCTGGTTACTGATGGCAAGAAGTTGACAATTAAAAATGAAAATTTCAGTTGCTGAGTTTATTTTTTCTTTCTTTTTTTCCTTCTTCCTTTCCTTCCCTCTTCCTTCCTCCATTCCCTCCTTTCCTTCCTCCTTCCTTCCTTCCTTCCTTCCTTCCTTCCTTCCTTCCTTCCTTCCTTCTTTCTTTCTAGATGGCAGCCCAAGAAAAGAAGCTCTCATGTGAATAAGGAATAAATGATGGGGAGCTTTATTAAGGTAAGAAAACACGTTCCACACCACGTAGGTAGTCCTTAACTTACAAGTGCAACTGAGCCCAACATTTCTATTGCTAACGGAGACATTTGTTAAGTCAAATCTGCCCCATTTTACAGTCTTTCCTGCTGATGTTATTAAGTGAATCACCACAGTTGAGAAGTTTAGTAACACGGTTATTAAGGGAACCTGGCTTCCCCTTTGACCTTACCAGTCAGGTCTCAAAAATGGATCACAGCAATTGTCATAAATACAAGTCAGTTGCCAAGCGTCTGAATTTTGATCACATGACCGTGGTGATGTTGCAATGGTTATAAGTGTGAAAAATGGTCATAAGTTACCTTTGCATTGATATTGTAACTATGAACAGTCACTAAATGAATTGTTGTAAGTTTAGGATTATCTGTATTTTTTTTTTCAAATTCACATTTCTCAAAATAATAACAACACAAGTTATGTAACCCATCTGCCTATCCTGGGTCTATTGGGAAGGACTCAACAGGTGCATGAAAATGCCAACTCCAGTCTAAACATCTGGTTACTGGGCGACCAACCACTCATCACTGACAACTAGAGAGCTGAGTCCTCCTGCTCTTTATCAAGATCTGAAGCTGGTCAACTGGTCAAACGAAGTGAAGGAGGGACCACCAATAGTGTTGAACCCAACCTTGTTCCCAGATGCATTCCAGGGGGCGTCACGCACTACAAATCCCTTGGCGGGGCCCCGAGGCTCCTCTTCCAAGCGGGAGGGAGGTTTCATGTAAGCAGCCATGGTTTCTGTTTCCACCACATCCATCATCTGCAAGGAGACAGCTGTCCGTTAAGAAACTGTGGGCAATAATTCCCAAATTTAGCTTGGCTTTTCCGTGAGATACAAATGATTAGATAGATTGGATGGATGGATGGATGGATGGATGGATGGATGGATGGATGGATGGACAGACATTCAGACAGATGGTAGAGAGCAAGGTAGAGACAGACAATAGATATATGATATACATAAGATTGATAGATGATAAGCAAATATAGATAATAAATAGATAGATAATAGATAGTTAGACAACTTAGAACTACACCACCTACGGTCTGACCGAAGCTTAGTACACAAAATTGTCTGCTACAACAACCTACTTTTCAATTACTATTTCAGCTTCAACCACAATAACACATAGGCAAACAATAGATACAAACTCAAAGTAAACCGCTCCCAAACTCTACTGCAGAAAACACTTCTGCAAGAGAGTGGTCAATGCCTGGAACTCACTACCTGACTCTGTTGTCACATCCTCAATCCTGCAAAACTTTAACCTTAAACTGTCTACTGTGGACCTCACTCCATTCCTAAGTGGTCTGTAAGGAGGACGTGCATAAGCACACCAGCATACCTACCATCCCTGTCCTACTGTTCCCATGTATTCATACTCATTTATACTTATACCTATTTATTCATATGTTCATATTTATACTTGTTTCCCCATACATGCTTGACAAACTAAACAAATAAACTAACTAAATAAAAATAAATAAATAGCTAGATAGGTGGGTGAGTTGGCAGAC